CTTCTTCCTTCTTTCTCTGCCCTCCCTCTTCTCTCTCTCTTTCTCTCCCTCCCCTCTCTCTCTCTTTTCTCTCCCGGCCCGCCTCTCTTCTCTCTCTTTCTCTCCCTCCCTCTCTCTCTCTCTTTCTCTCCCCTCTCCTCCTCTCTCTCTTTCTCTCCCTCCTCTCTCTCTCTCTTTCTCTCCCTCCCCCCCCTCTCTCTCTCTCTTTCTCTCCCTCCCTTCTCTCTCTTTCTCTCCCTTCCTCTCCTCTCTTCTCTCCCTCCCTCTCGCTCTCTTCTCTTTCTCTCTCCCTCCTCTCTTCTCTCTTTCTCTCCCTCTCCTCTCTCTCTCTCTTCTCCCTCCCTCTCCTCTCTCTTTCTCTCCCTCCTCTCTCTCTCTCTTTCTCTCCTCCTCTACTCTCTCTTTCTCTCCCTCCCTCTCTCTCTCTCTTTCTCTCCCTCCCTCTCTCTCTCTCTCTTTCTCTCCCTCCCTCTCTCTCTCTCTCTTTCCTCTCCCTCCTCTCTTCTCTCTCCTCTTTCCATCCCTCTCTCTCTCTTCTTCTCCCCTCTCTCTCTCTCCCCTCCCTCTCTCTCTCTCTTTCTCTCCCTCCCTCTCTCTCTCTCTTTCTCTCCCTCCCTCTCTCTCTCTCTTTCTCTCCCTCCCTCTCTCTCTCTCTCTCTTTCTCTCTCTCCCTCTCTCTCTCTCTCTTTCTCTCCCTCCCTCTCTCTCTCTCTTCCCTCTCTCCCTCCCTTCTCTCTCTCTCTCTTCGCTCCCTCTCCCTCTCTCTCTCTTCTCTCCCTCTCTCTTCTCTCTTTCCTCTCTCTCCTCTATCTCTCTCTCTTTCTCTTCTCCCTCTCTCTCTTTTCTCTCCCTCCCTCTCTCTCTTCTCTCTCCCTCTCTCTCTCCTCTCTCTCTCTCTCTCTCTCTTTCTCTCTCCTCCCTCTCTCTCTCTTTCTCTCCCTCCCTCTCTCTCTCTTTCTCCCCTCCCTCTCTCTCTCTTCTCCCTCCTCCCTCTCTCTCTCCTCTCTCCCCCTCCCTCTCTTCTTTCTTCTCCCTCCCTTCTCTTCTCTCTCTTCCCTCCCTCTCTCTCTCTCTCCTCCCTCTCCTCTCTCTCTCTCTCTCTCTCTCTCTCTCTCTCTCTCTCTCTCTCCCTCTCTCCCTCTCTCTCTCTCTCTCTCTCTCTCTCTCTCTCTCTCTCTCTCTCTCTCTCTCCCTCTCTCCTCCCCTCTCCCTCCTCTCTCTCTCCTCTCTCTCTCTCTCTCTCTCTCTCTCTCTCTCTCCTCTCTCTCTCTCTCCCTCCCTCCCTCCTCCCCTCTCCCTCTCTCTCTCTCTCTCTCTCTCTCTCCCTCTCTCTCTCTCTCCCTCCCTCCTCTCCCTCTCTCTCTCCTCTCTCGTCCTCTCCCTCTCTCTCTCTCCCTCCTCTCCCTTCCCTCTCCTCCCTCTCTCTCCCTCCCTCTCTCTCTCTCCCTCCCTCTCTCTCTCTCCCTTCCCTCTCTCTCTCTCCCTCTCTCTCTCCTCCCTCTCTCTCTCTCCCCTCCCTCTCTCTCTTCTCCCTCCCTTCTCTCTCTCCCTCCCTCTCTCTCCTACCCCTTCTCCTCTCTCTTCTCTACCCCTTTCTCTCTCTCCTCTCCCCTCTCTCTCTCTCTCTCTACCCCTTTCTCTCTCTCTCTCTCTCCCTTTCTCTCTCTCTCTCTCTACCCTTTCTCTCTCTCTCTCTCTCTACCCTTTCTCTCCTCTCTCTCTCACCCTTTCTCTCTCTCTCTCTCCCCTTTCTCTCTCTCTCTCTTACCCTTTCTCTCTCTCTCTCTCTTACCCCTTCTCTCTACTCTCCTCTTTCTCTCTCTCTCTACTCTCTCTATCTCTCTCTTACCCTTTCTCTCTACTACTTCTCTCTCTCTCTCTACCCCTTTTCTCTATCTCTCTCTACCCTCTATCTCTCTCTACCTTCTCTCTATCTCTCTCTCCCCTTTCTCTCTTCTCTCTCTCCCCTCTCTCTTCTCTCTCTCTACCCCTTTCTCTCTATCTCTCTCTACCCCTTTCTCTCTATCTCTCTCTACCCCTTTCTCTCTATCTCTCTCTACCCCTTTCTCTCTATCTCTCTCTACCCCTTTCTCTCCCTCTCTCTCTACCCCTTTCTCTCCCTCTTCACTACCCTTTCTCTCCCTCTCTCACTACCCCTTTCTCTCCCTCTCTCTCTACCCCTTTCTCTCTCTCTCTCTCTCTCTACCCCTTTCTCTCTCTCTCTCTCTACCCTTCTCCCCCTTCTCTACCCCTTTCTCTCTCTCTCTACCCCCCCCTCTCTCTCTACCCCTTTCTCTCTCTCTCTACCCCTTTCTCTCCCTCTCTCTCTACCCCTTTCTCTCCCTCTCTCTCTAACCCTTTCTCTCCCTCTCTCTCTTAACCCTTTCTCTCCCTCTCTCTCTACCCTTTCTCTCCTCTCTCTCTACCTTTCTCTCCCTCTCTCTCTAACCCTTTCTCTCCCTCTCTCTCTAACCCTTTCTCTCCCTCTCTCTCTAACCCTTTCTCTCCCTCTCTCTCTACCCCTTCTCTCCCCTCTCTCTCTACCCCTTCTCTCTCTCTACCCCTTTCTCTCCCTCTCTCTCTACCCCTTTCTCCCTCTCTCTCCACCCCTTTCTCCCTCTCTCTCCACCCCTCTCTCTCCCTCTCCCTTTCACTCTCTCTTCCCCTTTCTCTTTCTCTCTCTCTCTATTCTCCCATGAGAATAAATACAAAGGCACACATGCACATACTGTACATGCCCCCCCTCCCCACCTCTCTTCTCTCTCTCTCTCTCTCTCTCTCTCTCTCTCTCTCTCTCTCTCTCTCTCTCTCTCTCTCTCTCTCTCTCTCTCTCTCTCTCTCTCTCTCTCGCTCTCACTCACTCAATCACTCTTCCTCTCACTCAATCACTTTCTCTCACTCAATCACTTTCTCTCACTCAATCACTTTCTCTCACTCACTCACTCTTTCAATCATTCATTCTGTCTCTTTCTTACTTAATCTTTCTCTCACTCATTCATTCACCCTTTCACTCATTCATTCTTTCTTACTCACTCACTTTTTCTCACTCACTCACTCTTTCTCCCACTCGCTCTTTCGCTCACTCTTTCGCTCACTCTTTCTCCTTCATGATGCGGAATCTTATAAATATTACGGACACAATTGGTTTCTTGGTATGGCTTCGTAAACAAGTAATATGAATGACGCAAGAAAAATCTCACAGATATGAATGCAATAAAACACGCCAGCAATTAAGATTAAATTATCCGTGTCCGTGCGTTATACTATTTCGTGAGGTCTAGAAGCTGCTTGTTGAAAGCAGACCCTAATTTTATGCAATATACTTTTATACCTTGTATTATTAAACAAAATCATGATTTAGAAACCCACATAAACATAAATATACAAGCAAACATGGGCGCATAATCATTCCAGCGATATTTTGGAACTTCCTACAAGCCCCACCTTATACCTTCCCTGTTTCGCCCCCCCCTCCCCCGACCCCACCGTCCAACACAGTCGTTCTGAACTCTGCCGGAATGGCCCCTAAACTTACGTGGTCGTTCCCGCGGCACCTTTTCCTCAACCCCAACCCCCATCTCACACGAATTTTGTCAATATTTGCTTGTTCCACAAATTACAGGAAATTGAAACAAAATAAACAGTTTACCATGCTCAGATGACAAACTTTCATTTACAAAAATGAGAACAAATGAAAAATTTGGTACGAAATTGATTTTACTGCGGAATCTTCCAGAACCCCTAGGCAAAGCCCATGGCACCCAGTCCCATACAGAGAACCACTGCTATAGCATCTCGGCCTCTGCAGGTCATAGGATGTGCAACTATTCGTGACCATCTGATAAATCATTCTCATCTATTGTACTCTTGATAGCATGGCCACCACTGCTTACCAATTCTTTAAAATATACTTTTAATCAGTTTTTCCTTTTCTTCTTTCTTTTACTATAGTTCTTGTTATCATTATTCATTATTATTATTACTGTTATTTTCACTTTCATTTATATGACATTCATTAACATCATCATCATCAGCAGCAGCAGCATTGTTATCATTATTATTGTTATCATTATAACTAATCATTATTATTATTATCACTATCAATATCATCCTTATATCTAATTATTATTATCATCACAATCACTATCTTATTATCATTATCATTATTAGTAGTATCATCATACCATTATCTTTACTAGTATCAATATCATTGCTATCATAACTATCGTTATTATTATTATTATTATTATTATTATTATTATTATTATTATTATTATTATTATTATTATTATTATTATTATCATCATCATCATCATTATTATTGGTGGTGGTGTTGTTACTATTATGATTTTTATTACCATATTATTATTATCATTACCATTATTACTATTACCATCATCATAACTACAACTATTATCGTTATCATCACTATATTACTATATTATTATTATTATTATTATTATTATTATTATTATTATTATTATTATTATTATTATTATTATCATTATTAGCATTAGCATTAGCATTAGCATTAGCATTAACATTAGCATTATTATCATTAGCATTATTATTATTATTATCATTGTCATCATCATCATCACTACCATTATCATTATTAGTCATTATACTGATCATTATTATTATCGCTACTGCTGTCATTATCAACAGCCACAGCAAAAAATAGTAATATTAACCGATTAAATACTACACGTTCAAAAAATTAGGAAATATTGTTTCGTGCACTGATTACTTTCGAGACATTGGACTCGTCGGTCCAGTTACTAGCCTGATCTAATGATTGAATGATCTAATTTCACGGCTCCCACCATACGCCTTAAACACGTTGCGGGATGTATGATGTGTTAAAGACATGAATTATGTCTGAAGGTGTCTTTTATAACACTTCAAATACAATATTCCTGAAACGCTGATTGGTCACCAGCATGCTAATCTTTTTTCATTTTTATATCATAGCAATTTGACAGCTTGGGATTGCCTTCTTTGAATCGCAAAAAATAATCTGCTGCATTTGGACAGTGTACTCAACGCGTCTGTATAAAAAGCAATAAACTGTCATCTGTTTTAATCCAAATTGATTATTGCTATTAATAATTTCATTAATGTAAGTATTATCATTATACAGTTAATGACTAGAATGATTGACAGTATTGTTGTAGCAATAAAAATTAATAGAACAACCATGATGGTGATGATGAACACTAGCAATAACAATAACAATACTAACAATAAGAAAAATACAATAACAATAACAAACACTACAAACGCCAAAGTCTAGCACCAACGTTGGTAATTCACAAATGATACAGCCATGCAGATCATTCATATAATGAATTAACTCGAGATCTGAAGATTATTCCTTCTTATATTTTCCTCGAGTTTACAATTATGTTGGTCAGAGGATTCTACTGATTTGCAATCGCCAGTTGTTCATGTCAACAACCATTATGATACAAAAGTTGTAGTAATTGTCTACCTCATGTAACGGTGTCACCTGGTGCAGAGAACTATGCTGTCTCCTCTGCTGGCATTTAGTGTGTTCCAGACTGTACATACAACCAGGTTTTAAGGAGGTAAATTCAAATTCATAGCATCGGAAAACAATATTTTCTTAAGGGGGGCCCTATCCTATCTAGAGATAACAAATAAAAAATGCGCAATAGTTTGTTGTTTGCACGTCTAAATTCAAGCAACGTCTTGGCGGGTAATGTTTGTGTAGGTTATATTAGTTAAGTTTAATTGTTTGACTGTCAAATTGGGTTAGCTTAGAGTTTCATAGGTTGAGCTTAAGAAGGGTAGGATACATTTGGAATATATACTGTTGTAGCAGACTGACCTCCCCCTCTCTTCCAAAAAGGGGGATCTTTTTCTGCCATGTAAAATATTTTGAATATTTTAGCTCTTATTAGAACTTTCAGCAACTTTCATACACTTTTCAGACCAGAGACCATCGGCCAAGATTTGAAAAAAATATATAATCATGATAAAGTATACTATTGCCGTTAACCTATTCATATATGCACATAAGAGCACACATATGCACAAGTAGATACACACAAAACATCATGGAAGAAGTGTAGAGCATACCAGACAGAGTTTAGTGAGGCACGTTGAGTGAAAGTCCTAGCTAATGCTGGGGTTAGGACGGGTTCTTCCGGAGTGGTGTTCGAAAAAACGCAAATGTGAAGTGCGAAGCTTTGAATAAAACTAATTTTCTTGTTTCGAATAGAGTGTTCTATATATCAGACCGTTAAAATGGACCAACTTATTATCTTTGTGTGTGTGGAGGTGCGTGTGCGTGTGCGTGTGCGCGTGAGTATATGTATGTGCGCGTGTGTGTACGGATACGGATATGTATATGCATACGTATATGTATATGTGTATGTGTATGCATATGTGTATGTGTATACATACATATATATGCATACATATATATATATATATATATATATATATATATATATATATATATATCCACACACACGCATATAAATACATATATAGGTACACAAACACACATGTATGAGCGCCAAAACCAGTTATAGCATACAATAAAGAAACGTGCACTCCGGCCACTAGTTGTTGCGCGAGATAGCCTATCAAAATGTCGGTTTAATTACCTACCACTCTGCCTTCACAAAAACTCAGATGAAATGAGGACAGCTCTCCTACTAATACTTTAGAGCTGTCTGACTTAGTGCATGTAGTTGTAGGCGAGCTGGCCACCGATGCCAGGTGCAGTGCATCGCATCCCATAACAGATTCTGAGGAACGGTAGGCAATTACCCATCCCTTGGCCTGAGGTGCCTTGGCTGCAAGTGTCATCAGTGCCCTACCTTGCACCGTGACGCTCCTCCCTCTCTGCTTAAATGACAAATATTCTGTGCCGGGGCGTAACGAGGAGGGTGCCGCACCTCCAATGCTTTTTTGTCAACCTTATCGGCAAATATATAGGGAGTTTTTTTCCAACCTGGGGACCTGCATCCCATTCAAAGACGATTAGGGACGCCCCTCTGAATAAAATTTAAGCAAATGAACTTGGTACATTCTTACGTGCACTCGCTTGGAAAGTAACATTTGTAGAAATGTTACTTTGGGAGACGAAACAGTGCTATCATTTTTACGATAAAAATATCCGTAAGCAATTCAAGAACAGGTTTTCCGTCGACACGGTAGTGACATGCAGCAGAAGGAAAGCGTGCCGGAGGCGAGGCAGACGAGGGTTCACTGTCCTTCATTGCCTTCGCGAAGGTTCTGTCAAGAAAGCCTATATCGTCTAAACATCATCTAATTAGATGCCGTGTGAGTTTTTTTGTAATCTTAGAACTGATGCACAGACAGCCTTCCCTCTAAATGTTCCATCAGAGTGCATGTTCTCTTCTGAATAATCAAGTGGTCCAAATGCTATCCGTATGTGCGTAATCACATGCCTGATTGAATATATCTCTACTTTATTATTGAGATAATTAGAGCTAACAAAAATAAGAAAGCGAAAGATAACTTTCTGGAAAGTGTTTCTCATCGACGGATGAAAGACGGGCCTCGTACGAAGTGTTCACTGACCACAAAGACCTCTTATATCCCACGCCTCACCCTTCACACCTCTGATTTAAAAAAAAAAATAATAAAAACGTCGAGAATAAATTAAACGGAAATTATCTGAACATTGTCTCGTATTCATCACAATGTTATGCAAACACTTGTTAAGAGAAGTCACAGTCTGTTCGTTCAAGTTCTGCCTTTTCCTCCGGGCCGGCGCCGCCCTCGGAATGACTAACGCCTCCCGGGAAGAAATCTGGCCCAGCCCTGCATCAATACTGGCCACGTGACTCCCACTCAGCATGCCTCACTGTAAAGCGAGGCACCGAAATTTTCTTTCATACGTGTGTACGTGCATTACTCTAGGGTGTGTGTGTGTTGTGTGAGTGTGTGCGGCGGTAGGTGGGTGGGTGTGGGTATATCCAGGTATGTTTGTGTGGGTGGGTGCGTCCATGTGCATGTGAGTGGGTGCGTGTATGTGTGCATGCGGGTGTGTTCTTGTGCGTATATGTTTGAGCAGTTGTGTGCTAATGCCTAGTACATTTTTTTTGTTTGTTTCCTCTTCGCGTTGGGATTCCCTTCGTTAGTGCCTCCTTGCCCGAAGATGCTCTGGCCGGATAGTTTTCAGTCAGGAACGAGGGGGAAATCACGAGTCCCTTCCGGTTACCTGCCTGTCAGCAGTTGCCGTAATAATGGCGTAGCATTAGATTGACAAGCAGGCCAATATGCGAGGATCGCCCAACCCCGTGCATGTCAATCCAATTAGGAGCCACAAACTGCGGGACCGCCATTTCATTTTCTGAAGTAGCTCGGATCGTACTCTACATTTCAACAATCGTGCAGACGGCGATCATCACTCTTATGCACATCAGTTTGCATTAGTAGTATTTATGCAGCGTTAGCTTAATGCATTCATATCTGCAGTCACGGAGGTGGGCGTGGTCACCAAGAAGCAGGCCCTCGCCGAACTCACGCCAAGATGACAACGCCTTTCCAAAAGCATTTCATAAAATATTACATATGTTAACAAAACTTCAGTACATATCTATTTAAGCTTTTTAACATGATGACCAGTACTGAAAATCTAAAGGACATATTTCCATGTTAGGCGAGAGCAGTCTTTTTCCCCTTCAGACTGAGGGCTCGGAGGGTAAGCTTCTCTCGCGTTCCTTGCATGTTCAACAAGCAATTGTTCGAAATCTAAAACCAAACTGGCGATCACAATGTGGCGTAGATGGATATGTTTCATGAGATTTGCCTCGTATTGGCCAAATAATATCATTTACTGAAATAATTAAATTTGCTTGGAAATTATTGCTTCTTATGTGTATCAATATTGGGCACCATTTTTCCTCAAAAGCCAACTGAATATTACTACTTAAAGGAACTCGACAAACTGGTGAACTTTAAACAAAATATCATCTAACTATAAACGTTCCATTTTTGAACGTAAAAGGTTGAAAGGGCTCATCGGGGATGTTGGCCATGAATGAAATCGGGCTTCGAGGAGAAATTACTCATTGAGATCTGGCACTTCCTGTGGCCCTGAATATGACCCGTCCAAGTGCCCTCTCTGCTCGCCCTTGGCTTCCGGGAGAGTCAGGCTCCGATGAGTTTATCGTGACAAACGTAGAAAAAGGTACAGATGAGACTGGATAGTTAAGCGCGTAAGGGGTGTGCCTGACGCGTGTCGATGAAACACTCATGAGAAATACATGATCTAGTGTAAATCTATTCGCATCGCCATCATGGTATCTCTTGCGCTGAGAAGATAATTATTTTCCTTTGAAGCTCCCGGCGAGTCCCGCCCGAGGAAAAGACGCCCCCGGCCGCCCCCGTTCTTCCTGTCCGCAGGCACAGCGTCTCCGCCTTAGAGGTCTTCTGAACAAACCCTGAGTCGACGCGCCAGAAGGTGGAGGAAATTCACTTTGGTGTAACATTACCGACCCCGGCCGGGTTTCACCGTCGGTCCGCAGGTGGCGAGAACGAACGCACGCGCGCACACATACCTTCCTCCCCATCCCCTTTCCAAAAATAAAAATAAATCATCTCTACAAATATCAAGAAAATTGGCCTTTTACATGCGTGAGATGCATTCGTAAACAGTTTTGGTGTCATAACCTCCGTCACCAAATTACTCATGTTCTCAGTATGGTATGTCATCATGCCGTCGTTTTCCGTATTAACTCACACTCACTCACTCACTCACTCACTCACTCACTCACTCACTCTCTCTCTCTCTCTCTCTCTCTCTCTCTCTCTCTCTCTCTCTCTCTCTCACACACACACCCACCCACACACCACACACACCACACAACACACACACACACACACACACACACAACACAACACACACACACACACACACACACAGTAGAATACATATATAAGACATATATACAAATATGATATGTATATAAATATATAGAAATATATATATACA